TGGTTCAAAAAGCGCTCGAACCTGTTGAGCCCACAGCGCCTGTGTACTCCATTGCGACTGTGTACATCGTGGGAGTGTGAACCGTGGCGCCTGTGTATACCACATGGCATGTGTGCACCACAAAGTTTGTGTACGGTTTTTTGTGCGGAGTGTAAACTACGCACCGTGGGGGCGCGCGGGGCGGCGGCAGCCTAGGGAATACAGGAAGCAGGAGCTCCCTGCACAGGCACAAGGCCCTTGAGACATGGGTCGACGGCTGGAGCGTGCACGCGGGTGCGTCGTCGTCGTCGCCGTCAATTGCGACGGCGACCGGGGGGGCGACGGCGGCGGCGGCGGCGACCGCGACGACGACGACGACGACGACGGCGGCGGCGACGGCGACGACGCCGACGGCGGCAAGCGGCGGCGGCGGCGGTGAAGGTGACCGCCGCCGCCGTCACCGCCGTCGTCGTCGCCGCCGATGCCGCCGTCGCCGTCGCCGCCGCCGCCGTGTCCGCAGCCAGTTGCCGAAAGCTTCAGCAGCGCTTGGGGCCCACTTGCTGGATACACATGCGGGGGGGGGCTGGCGTGACCAGCCGCGCGAGGTAGGAGGGCCGAGCGCTGGAAGGACATGCGGCCACATCGAAGTGCAAGTCTCGCCCAATCCAGCCCCTTGCACCAGCACAGGGAGAATGGAGGGAGGACAGCGGTAGTAGTCACAATGATATTGTGAGAGTGCACCGGCTGGTTGCGCCATGGCTTGCCCGATGCGTTACACCACACGTTGTGCTTGCGTACACTTACCTGCGCCATAGGTTGAGCCGTAAGCTGCGCCATAGGATGCGCCCCCCAGGGCGTGCCATAGCTTGCGCCATAGGTTGCGCACCCAGGGCGCCCCACAAATCGCGCCTTACGTTGCGCCTTAGGTTGCGCCCTCAGGGCGTGCCATAGATTGCGTCGATGGTTGCGCCACAGGTTGCGCCAAAGGCGGGGCCACTTTGTGGCGCCAAAGGCGGGGCCACTTTGTGGCGCTCATGCCCCTCCTCAGATCCCCCATCACCTCCTCCTCCGATCCTGTTCCAACCCTCCTCGTCCTCCTCGTCTTCCTCATCCTCCTCCTCCTCCTCCTCCCTCTGCCTCGCTCCCCCTCCCCCCAGGAGGTGCGAGGAGGTGGAGGGCACGAGCACTGGAGGGATTGCAGAAGCAAGGCAAAGGAGGTGGATGGGCCAGGCCGGAACCCGTTGAAAGGTTCGCGCCGAGGGATGCGAACCTCGAGCCTCGAGGCATCCTGGCCCTCGAGGGCGTTCGTCGTCGCCGCGGCTGGACGCGGCTCGGGAAACTGGTGCGTCTGAGCCCCAGTCGGGCCCCGTGGACCCATTTTGAGTTTGCGCCGAGGTTCGAACCTCGAACCTCGAACCTCGAACCTGAGCGCACATGTGAGCGTCACAGCATGCCTGCCTGGACGGAGGGGGGGTCCGCACCCCCGTCCCCGTACGCTCGTTACCGTTACGGGGAGGGGGGGGGGGACCCGTGGCGATCAGGATTCGGTACCATTTGACAACATAAGCCTAACACGATTCCAATCGGTTTGTGTGTGTGTGTGTCGTCGTCGTCCTCGTCCTCGTCGTCGTCGTCGTCGTCGTCGTCGTCGTCGTCATCGTCTGTGTGTGTGTGTGTCGTCGTCGTCGTCGTCGTCGTCGTCGTCGTCGTCGTCGTCGTCGTCGTCGTCGTCGTCGTCGTCGTCGTCGTCGTCTGTGTGTGTGTGCGCGTATGTGTGTGTATGTGTGTTTGTGTGTGTGTTCGTGCATGTGTTTGTGGAGGCGTCGTGGGTCGTCTTGGGGGCGCCTCGAGTCGTCCTGGGGTGATCTGGGGCCCCGATACCGACCAAGATTGGTCGGTATCGGCTTTCTTGGGCCCTCTCGTGTGCTGTCTTGGGGGCCTCTCGAACCGTCCTGGGGTGATCTGGGGCCCCGATACCGACCAAGTTTAGTCGGTATTGGCGCTCTTGGAACCCTCGTGGACCGTCTTGGGGGCCTCTCGAGCCGTCCTGGGGTGATCTGGGGCCCCGATACCGACCCAAGTTTGGTCGGCGTCGGCCCCCTTGGAGGCATCGTGGGCCGTCTTGGGGGCCTCTCGAGCCGTCCTGGGGTGATCCGGGGCCCCGATACCGACCAACTTTGGTCGGTATCGGCCCCCTTGGAAGCGTCGTGGGTCGTCTTGGGGGCGCCTCGAGCCGTCCTGGGGTGATCTGGGGCCCCGATACCGACCAAGATTGGTCGGTATCGGCCCTCTTGGGCCCTCTCGTGCGCTGTCGTGGGGGCCTCTCGAACCGTCCTGGGGTGATCTGGGGCCCCCGATACCGACCAAGTTTGGTCGGTATTGGCCCTCTTGGGGCCCTCGTGGACCGTCTTGGGGGCCTCTCGAGCCGTCCTGGGGTGATCCGAGGCCCCGATACCGACCAAACTTGGTCGGTATCGGCCTTCTTTGGGCCCTCTTGGGCCGTCTTGGAAGCCTCTCGAGCCGTCCTGGGGTGATCCGGGGCCCCGATACCGACCAAATTTGGTCGGTATCGGCCTTCTTGTGGCCCTGGGGCCCCGATACCGACCAAGTTTGGTCGGTATCGGCCTGTCTTGGGGGCCTCTCGAACCGTCCTGGGGTGATCTGGGGCCCCGATACCGACCAAGTTTGGTCGGTATTGGTTTTCTTGGGGCCCTCGTGGACCGTCTTGGGGGCCTCTCGAGCCGTCCTGGGGTAATCCGGGGACCCGATACCGACCAAGTTTGGTCGGTATCGGCATTCTTGGGGCCCTCGTGGACCGTCTTGGGGGCATCTCGAGCCGTCCTGGGCTGATCCGGGGCTCCGATACCGACCAAGTTTGGTCGGTATCGGCCATCTTGGGGCCCTCGTGGGCCGTCTTGGGGGCCTCTCGAGCCGTCCTGGGGCGATCGGGGGCCCCGATACCGACCAAACTTGGTCGGTATCGGCCCCTTTGGAGGCGCCGTGGGTCGTCTTGGGGGCGCCTCGAGCCGTCCTGGGGTGATCCGGGGCCCCGATACCGACCAAGTTTGGTCGGCATCGGCCCTCTTGGGCCCCCTCGTGTGCTGTCTTGGGGGCCTCTCGAACCGTCCTGCGTTGATCCGGGGCCCCGATACCGACCAAGTTTGGTCGGTATTGGCCCTCTTGGGGCCCTCGTGGACCGTCTTGGGGGCATCTCGAGCCGTCCTGGGGAATCCGGGGCCCCGATACCGACCAAGCTTGGTCGGTATCGACCTTCTTGGGGCCCTCGTGGGCCGTCTTGGAGGCCTCTCGAGCCGTCCTGGGGTGATCCGGGGCTCTGATACCGACCAAGTTTGGTCGGTATCGGCAATCTTGTGGCCCTCGTGGGCCATCTTGGGGGCCTCTCGAGCCGTCGCGGGGTGATCTGGGGCCGAGATACTGACCACGTTTGGTCTGTATCGGCCCTCCTGGGGGCCTCGTGGGCCGTCTTTGGGGCCTCTCGAGCCGTCCTGGGGTGATCTGGGGCCCCGATGCCGCCGCCCCTCCTCGCCCCTCCAACTGCCTCGGGCCGCGTCCTGGAGCCGACTTCGAAAGCGAATGCCGACTACGCTTGGTCGGTATGGGCTCCTCTTGGGATGTCTTAGGGCCCTCTTGGGACGGTCTGTTGCCTCCTGGGGCCTCCTGTGGTTTCCTGAGGCCTTCTGGAGCTTCCTGGGGCCTCCTGGAGCCTCTTGGGACATCCTGTGGCCTCTTGAGTCTTTCTGTGGCCTCCTGATGCCTCCTGGGACCTCATGTGGTCTCCTGGGGCCTCCTGGAGCCTGTTGGAGCCTCCTGTGGCATCCTGAGAAGAATCTGCGCCCACGAGCCTGGCCACCAAAACAAGCAAACCGATCGAGACATCCTCAAAATCTGGCCCACCTGGGGGGTGAAAATGAGCGCCTCGCTCGAGACATCCTCCAAATCTGCTCCGAAAGCGAAGGATGTTGGCCCAGAAACAAGCAAACCGCCTGAGACATCCCCACAAAATGGCCGCGAACGAGCCCGTGCAACCACCCCTGGCGGCTCCCCTTAGGGCCACGAGCCTGGCCACCAAAACAAGCAAACCGATCGAGACATCCTCAAAATCTGGCCCACCTGGGGGGTGAAAATGAGCGCCTCGCTCGAGACATCCTCCAAATCTGCTCCGAAAGCGAAGGATGTTGAGCCCAGAAACAAGCAAACCGCCTGAGACATCCCCACAAAATGGCCGCGAACGAACCCGTGCAATCACCCCTGGCGGCTCCCCTTAGGGGTGCTGAAACCAGCGCCCCGCCTGAGACATCCTCACAATCTGCTCTCCAAGCGAAGGATGTTGAGCCCGGAAACAGGCAAACCGCCTGAGACATCCCCACAAAATGGCCGCGAACGAACCCGTGCAATCACCCCTGGCGGCTCCCCTTAGGGGTGCTGAAACGAGCGCCCCGCCTGAGACATCCTCCAAATCTGATGTGTGTTGAGTAAGTCTGAGTATGAGTAGGTCTGAGTATGAGTATGCCTGAGTATGAGTAAGTCTGTGTATGAGTAAGTCTGTGTATGAGTAAGCTGTGTATGAGTACGTCTGGGTGTGAGTAAGTCTGTGTATGAGTAAGTCTGTGTATGAGTATGTCTGAGTGTGAGTAAGTCTGAGTATGAGTCGGTCTGAGTATGAGTAAATCAGAATATGAGTAAGTCTGTGTATGAGTAAGTCTGAGTATGAGCAAGTGTGAGTATGAGTAAGTCCGACAGGAGGGGAGGAGAAAAGAGGAGGAGGGAGGAGGAGTAGGAGGCGTCCAAGTAATAACAAGAACCCCATCTTAGGATATGGGGAACAGCAGACAACAAACAACAAACAACAGACAACAAACATCAACAAGAATCCGCATCGCGGAATTCCACTTCAGCCACGCACCCAGGGACAGTCAATGACCGTTCGGTTCAGCCCCCTCACTCTGACGACGTAAAAACGCGTTGGAGGTCCAGGATCGGAATTCGTGGGACCTGCACTCCTCGCGAAGGTGTGCGCGTCGGGCGACGACTCGCCGCCGCCGCCGTCCCCGCCGGCGGCGACCCAGGCGGCGTGCCTCGGCGGCAAGCGCAGGGAGGGTGAAGCGAAAGGGTGGCGGCCCTCTACGGTCCGTTCCCGCCGTGTCGACGCGAACGCTCGCTTCTGCTACTACAAGAATATGGCATGTATTCCTGGGCCCTGGCCGATTTTGCGGTCCCCCCGTCGCCGCCCCGTCGCCACTCGTCGCCGCCCGTCGTCGCCGCCTCGTCGCTGCACCACGGAGATATCAACCCGTAGCCTACAAATTCGCACCATAAAGATTGCACCATGTAACTTGCACCATATAGTTTTCTACACATAGGTGGCACCACGGAGCCTGCATCAATCAGATTCTCCTTCTAAACGGAAATCGACTTTACGATCCCATGGAGTCTGAAATAATTCCGTCCCCGCCCCAAACGATACTCTAAAGTACAAGCGGCTCTGCCCCATCGCTCATTTTGCAAATGAAGCCACACCATCCCAAGAAGCATACACTGTTATCGACCCCCTCATCTCTGCCCCAAAATACTCTACGCGCGCACACTCGTCCTTCAAAACATCAGCATTGCAGCATTGACCAGTACATGGCACATGTTGGACACGGTGCACACGTGCGCGTCGTCGCGCGCACATGTCGAAATCCATTGAAAACCCTAATTTTCGCAAACTGGCCAAGCTGACAAACACACGCTTCATTGTCACACCACAAACTCGGCGCGCACGCTCTTGCGAATTCAATGGGAAACCATACGGCGTGTGTCCCAATATGTTCATCGCTGTCCTCTCGCGCGTGAATTTGGGAATCGCTCGAACGCCCTTGCGCGCGAATTGGGTGTGCGCGACCCTGTCAAATATCACCATGCGGGCCACATTCGCGCGTCGGCCGCGCGCGCATGTCGAAATCCGTCAAAAACTTTGTTATACGACAAATGGACATCATTATCAGCAGCACCAACATCAGCAACTGATTCCCTACCTAGGCTCTGCCTAGAATGGTTCTTACTCTCTTTCTTAAAAGGGCCGGTCAGTGGGGCCCGCCCCGGGCGGTTCCCCCAATATCCGCCTCGCGGTTCCCCCACTTACGCCCCCTGAGCCTTGCGTTGCTTATCTCATCTTAGCTTAGCTTAGCTTAGCTTCATGTAAGCTTCGCTTAGCTGTAGCTTAGCTGTCTGTAGCTTAGCTTAGCTTAGCCTAGTTTAGCGTAGCTCATCTTAGCTTAGCCTAGCCTAGCTTGGCTTAGCCTAGCCTAGCCTAGCTTAGCTTAGCTTAGCCTAGCCTAGCTTAGCTTCGCTTAGCTCAGTTTAGCTTCGCGCAGCGCAGCATTATCACAGCATATCATAGCACGGCGTGGCATAGCGCAGCATAGCATAGCACAGCACAGCACAGCACAGCACAGCGCAGCAGAGCACATCATAACACAGCATTGCTTAGCCTAGCATAGCACATCGCAGCATAGCACAGCACAGCATAGCATAGCATCGTGCAGCATAACATAGCATAGCATAGCGTAGCGCAGCATATCATAGCATAGCGCAGCATAACATCGCATAGCATAGCGCAGCATATCATATCATAGCATAGTCTAGTCTAGCATAGCATGGCATATGTAGATGTAGATGTATATATATATATATATATATAGTTGTAGGTGTAGTTGTAGGTGCAGATTTAGATGTGAATATCGCTGTTGATGTTGATGTAGATGTAGATGCAGGTGTATATGTTAATGTAACTGTCGGTGTAGATGTAGATGTTGCTTTCCCCGATGCTCCAACTCCTAGGTAGGGTCGCGCTGGGATAACTCACTGTCATAATCACCATCACCATCATGATCACCATCGCCATCATCATCATCCTCCTCCTCATCATCATCATCATCGATGTCATCATCATAATCACTGGCGTGACCAGCATCGGCGCCGTCATTGGCTTTGCCGTCGTCACCGTCATCATTGTCGCCACCATCGGTATTATCATCCGCGTGGCGCGGCCTGGGACGCTGCCACTGGCAAGTGCCGTCGCGGCCACATCGGCTGTGCCAGACCAGCTGGCCGCTGTGCGCGCGAGCGTGCGCGTGCCAGCGCGGCCGCCGAGACGCGCCAGCCATGGCCAGGCCATCATCGAAATCGCCGCCGAAACAAGGTTTTGCAAACCAGGCTGCGGGTGGGAAGTGGGGTGATTGCGCGAGCAGCGTTGGTAACGCCAAGTTATGCAGAATCGATTGGACCACATTGCTTGCGCCACGTAGCTCACACCACATAACTTGCACACCAGCAATCTCAACCCATGTATTACCCAACCTGGATTGCACCACGTAGAGACTTCGCCACATAGATACTGCACCGCGTAGACCGCACCATACGGAACGCACCACATAGATACACACATACTGCACCGCAAACATCTTCACCGCGTAGTCTGCACGACATATATTGCATAGCTCCCACCACATAGGTTGCACCGCGCAGCTTTCCACGCACACACCTAGATATACGTAAATAGATACATATAGATGTGTAACTGCGCATAAGACCGCGGCCTAGACGAACTGACAGACAAGACAGACGATGAGGCCCAACCATTTTCTCGGCATCATTTCTGCGACGGCCATCGCAGCCGCCGGGGTTTAAAAGCAACGGCGCCGTAGGGCCCTTCATGGAGTCCACTGAAACTCACTTGGCACCTCCCAAGGCCCCCCTCGCGAGGTCAACTGCAATTTAGTTTAAACCCTCCAGGGCCCGAGGAGGCACGACAACTTGCTAGGAGGGCGGGCTGAGGGCACAAGCACTCGAGCCGAAAAGGTTACGGAGTGCTGGCCACTCACTGATGCTACAACGCATTCCTCTGTAAACAAATATCACGCCACTGCGCATACGCCCGTGGCCAAGACGAACTGACAGACAAGACAAACAATGATGGCCAGCCATTTTCTCGGCATCATTTCTGCGACGGCGATCAAAGCCGCTGGGGTTTACAAGCAAGTGCGCCGTATGATCCCTCGCGAGGACCACCGAAAGTCAGTTTAAAGCTCCCGAGGCCCGAGGGGGCATGAAAACCTGCCGTGCCGTGCTTGCCAGAATCGGCCACCTCAGGGAGGGCGGGTCGGGCGCGCCCTCGGCAGCCCCCGGCTGCTCTCATCCCAGCCGCAAACGAGACAGCCTACGCATGTCGAGAGCTGCGCAGGCATTCGAAAAAGCACGGGCCAAGCGGGAGCAGAACTCACGAGGATACTTCTCGGCTTCTTTTGTCAGCCAGCCTCGTGGACCGTCGAACCCACACAGCGCGAGATGGGGGCGGCCAGTGCGACGGCATACTCTGCCACCGCAGTGTCTCCCTACATTCGTGAAGTCGATGCGGTATCCAAGGTGACGTGTCGGCACATGTTTCTCCAAACACGCAGAACCATGTGTCAATCATTGGTGCACATTTCCATGGCTGCACTTTCAACAGCCGAGGCAGCAGCCCAGTTCTCGAGGACGAAGGGTTCTCCATGGTCGCAGTCTTTCGCTGATGTTGCATATGTTCAAATAAACTGATGTTGGATATTGCGACCTGATTCCCAATCCATTCGAAGGCGAGACGGCGGCCCTGGCCGCGGGCGCTCGGGATCCCGACTGGGCCCTCGGCCCCGAGCCCTGGACCACGCGCTGCAAGGGATCGCGACGTGGAGGCCCCACGCGAGGCCTGCCGCGATCCAGCCCCGGATCACGCGCTGGCTGGACCGCGGCGTCAGGTCCCAGCTCGGCCCCCGCCGCGCGTCCCAGTCCAGCACCCGGTAGCCCAGCTTCCCGAGCTCGGCCGAGAGCCGCCCGCAGCCGCTGAAGATCTCTAGAAACACCTGCGGTCGCACCTGCCCGCGGCGAACGGCGGGAAATGGGCGCCCGATGGCAGTCCGAGGAGAGACCTCAGCTGGCCAGGCGCCAACAGGGCGCGGGCGCGGACCTCGGGCTGGAGCCGGCGCAGCTCCTTCGTGACCCGACCCCCCTTGCCGCGCAGCTGCACCGAGGCGTCCGCTATCCATTGGCCCCGGAGCTATATCTCAAGGGCGCGATACTTCGCAGCCCTGTCGAACGTCGGCCCGCTGCGGCGCAGCATGTGCAATTCGGGCCTCAGCACCTCGACCCCGCGGCAGCTGGCAACCTGGCGGAACCTGTCCACGAGATCGGCCTGGCTGAACTCGAACAGCGGCCTCCCAGGCGGCGTGGCCTGATGGAGCCAGCGCAGCGCTGGGTCGAGCAGCGCCGTGAAGTCCGGCGCGTCCACCGCCGCGGACTCGTCGAACTGGCGCGTCTGGCTCGCCACTGTGGCCTCGAAAGGGTGGGGCGCCAGTGACCAGTTCTGGTAGCGGCTGCCCTGCGCGGGCGGCGCCGCCATCTCGCGCGCCAGCTTGAAGCCCTCCCCGGGCCTGAGGTAGCCGTGGAAAGCCAGCGCCACGAGCGCCGCCAATGCCTGGTAGCCGTCGCGCACGAGCTGGCACGCCATGAGCGCTATCACCTCCCATGGACGAGGCAAACGCGTCCGGCCTGGGGCCAGCCGCTTCCAGCCTCGCAGAGACTGACCTGCCCGCGGCAGCTTGCGAGTCCCGCCCCTGTCGAAGTCTGGTAGGTAGAACTTCGCCAATGCCGGCGTGAGCGATCCCGCATGGGCCAGCTCGCCGTTCAGGTACTCGTACTTGAATGATTGCGTGACCTATAGATACCTAAAGGGCATATAGAACACTAGAAAAGATCGAACAATAATTAGGGAGACAAATACTGAAAATACTGATAATAATGAAACATGTAGCAACAACAATTTGAAATTCTGAAAATAATGGAAAAATGCGGAAAAGTAATGGATCGAGTAAAACCATGAATTTGACAGACTGCAGCAAATTTCACCGTCGATGGGTCATGTTGCGCTCTTTTCTTCTCCTCCTCCTCCTCCTCCTCCTCCTCCTCCTTCTCCTTCCTCCTCCTGGCCTTGGTCGGTTTCCGCCTGAAGTCGGACATCAACATCGGCAAGGTGCCTGAGGCAGCATCACCACAGCCGAAG